CTTCTCTTTCTTCTTCTCCTTACTGGTTCGGACTACTGTAGCAACAGTAGAAACAATATCATATTTCTATGTGCATGGAACCTGGCAGTAATAGGTAACAACTACCCCTGGAATGCCATTAAGAAAGCAAATATATTCTGATAAAAGAACCATACTATGTGTATATACATGGAAAAAAAGTTCACTGGTTGGATCATGTAGGGAGCCTTCCTAAACAAACCCATTTATTCTGCTAGGTGGAGGGATCTTGTGGCCAATGTAGATCATCCATTAGATAGGGGATCCATTGGACTAATCACATATTCTCACAGTTGATTTCAGCCATATGCTCCACTGTGTATTTGTGGTTCTCAGTAGGGTGCAACGCAATTCAGACCAGGTTACCTAAACCCAACTTGTTGAATTCGGATTGGGTTGGGATCAGGTTGAATTCTGATTAGCCAATTTCTTTGCTTCTTTTTTCTTTAAAAATAAATGTTCTCACTTCTTAAATTCAAGATTGATCAATTAAGGTTAACTACATATAAGACAAAGTTATGGTGCTTTGGGAGTACCATATTCATGTTACACTGAAAAGTCTTTGCTTTAAACTTAAAATAATTGATGCATATGAATACATACATACAAGTTCTCGGAACTAATATTCAACCCAAGGCTAACCCACCAAATTTACACGGTTACACCCCAAGTTCTCGGAACTAATACTAGTCATTCAAAGTCCTATTTTTTTAATACAAGAATAACTTATAAAAGACCAGACTGGCAGGTTCCATTTGAGCTCCCAATTTATTTGTTTCATGTAATATTCCTGGGTTGTTTAGGGAAGCTCATTAATGCCCCAACTAGAAAGCCTGGTAGTCATACCATTAAATCCTTTGTCCAGGACCATATGTGGCAATATGAAATGCAATATTTCTTTTTCATGTTATTAGCTAAAAGTGTTCTAATTGTAATAGCTAAACCCAGAAGAAGAACCATATTAGAAAGAAAAAGCATACCTGTCATTCATCCTGTCCCTACGCATTTTCTCACGACAAGCTTTGGATCCAGGATCACTGCACGACTGATTGCGTCCCCTGTATATTATTACCAAACAATAATTTTTCATGAAAATATAAAATTGCAGGAAACATAAAGAATAAATCAACAACTGATGAGACAAAAAAAAAACAAAATAACCAGAAGAGCATCAAGAAATTAGCTAAAACCCAAATGCCAAAGAAAAAGATCTTCCAGCACAGAAGACAGTAGATAATCAAAATTGCTTTGTTGCAAAATTCACTGGATTTTGTTAGTCCAAAGAAAATTACCAAAACAATAAAACAACCTTTAAAATTTTGCAAAGTAAACAATCAAAGCCTCATACAGTTAATCAGGAATATCTCCACATCTTGGAATAGGGGAAGTTATTGTTGTCTTGTTTGTCAAGATTGAAGGTTTGATCCCAACTTACCTACTAGAAATATTTGTGTAATCTACCACTATTCTAGAATAAAGTAACATGTTCTTTGACACATTTAATGACAACCAAATTTAAGTGGATTAGTCAAATTCAACAAATTTCACTTTATCTAAACATCCCAGAAAATAGCTTATCCATGGCCATATTCCTCTACTTTGCATTGATCAATATTTTTCATTTGAATACCCCAAAGAAAGTGCAGTTTTGAGTAGGGAAATAACAAGTACAGGACAGTACATGTTACCCATTTATCGACTACTCACAGCAGATAAGCCCCAGGAAATATTCTTGTATATTGATTGATTGAACTACATGAGATGAACAAGTATCATGAACCCCATTGAATATAGGATACTCAACTATAGCTGCATCCAAATTGAATCATGTAAGAAGCAAAACCAGGTTCAAAAACATTGATACACAGGCATTTTATTCTTGTCTTCTGTAAAGGTTTTCCTTTCTGATCACTAACAAAAAAAATACTGAAATATAGAACCATCCACTACCTAAAGAAAAGGTTGAGAAAAAAGATCATTGTTTTCAATTATGATACAAGTCTCAAAGTTCCACATAAAGAGTTCAAATAAATATACTGAGAAAATACCTCTTTCTCGCGCATGCTTTTTCTTGGGGAACAGAGCCAGTAGGTGATTGAAAATCCAAGCAGCAGCTGCAAAGGAAAGTCCAACCACATAGTAAATAAATAATCCTTGATTCACAGGTTTTCAAATTTATTCAACCAATATTGAGGAAGTAACTGTCATAATTGGCAGCAAGGATTAACTGACTAGCATCAATATAGCGTCATCCCCCCCTTAAGAAAAATTGTTACCAACTCCATTCAGTTGAATCAGATCACTAGTTTTTTTCTTCCGTATACCTATTAAAGAGTATTTTGCTATCCTAGTATAGATTTAACTTTCCTGCCTTTATTTCAATTTGCATTTGACAAGATCTAGCTCTTTCCATTTTTTTTCATATTTTCCATAGTTTCAATTCATACATTTGAATAGAAACAAAGCTCATAATCTTTGTTTTTCACAGAAATATTACAAAAGTGGAGATCAGTTTAAACTAGCAAGTTCACTTGACAACAGGACTTTTGCATTGAAACCGTACAAAATAACCAATTCGATCAGAGATATTCATGTAGAGAGTCGGATTAAATCAATCCCAGAAGGCCAGAAATGGAATAGGAGAGAAAGGAAACAAGATGAAAAAGGAAAAGAAAAAAATTTCGTCTTTCCAGGAAAACATACATTTGATTGTTCCAATAGAAATCGGATGACGTTCCATCTTCGATCATATCATAATCGAGGAGATTCCAACTACTATCCTTCAATGAATCCATTTCTTGCGATCCGAAAAAAAAAAATCCAAATACAAAAAAAGAAGAAAAGAAGAGAGAAGAAAAGATGCAGAAGCCCTACAAATAAAGGAAATTGTGGCGTGTCGACCTCAGTCTGCTGTCGATCCTAAGAAAAGATAAAAGCCAAAAAAAAAAACCGCGCAGCGCAGACACTGAGAAAAGGTGATGGTGTACACGTCTACTTTCCTTCGAATATTATATACATAAAAAGACAAAACTACCCTGATGCTAACATATAATAATATAAAACTACCATTTGACATAATTTACATATAAAAGAACCTACAAGTCTACAACACATACAAAAAAAAGAAATAAATGTTTTGATATAATTTATATATAAATATAATGGATTAATGATCTCTCCGTATATTGAACTTTTTTTGAAAAAAAATTCCATTTTATTACTCTAAACTTTGGGTTAGTGTCAAATTAGTACCCAAACTTTTAAATGTTTACTATAATATTAAAAGTTAAAATTTTCAAGTTCTTGYTATTAACCGACCATCAATTAGGTGATAACATGTACAACTTAAATTTTGTGTGTAAATATTAAAACTACCCTACAATGAAGAGAATCTCGTAACTAGCCGATTGTCAGTTATCCGATTCAAAAAACCATCAATTATCGTTGACTAAATACCTGAATCCATAATCAACTTGATATCGGAGGTAGTTACTAGTTAGAAATTAAATACCAATTATAAAAAAAAAAAAAATTAGATGATAGGTGAAGGACATTTTTATCATTTTACATGATATTTAACGTCCGTTACTAATTTTATACCAACTTGATATTATTTAAAAGTTTAGATACTATAATAACACGTTTAAAAATTTAGGATAGAAAAATAGAATTTTCTCTTTTATTTGATGGGCATTGATATAATTGGATTTGAAGATGGAAGCAACGAGAATAAGAAAAAACAAAAGACGTTGAAAAAATGGTTGGTACTTGGTACTTGGGTGGTCGCCCTTCAAGATTCAAGCGGAGACTTCAATTCAATGTGTCCGAGTCCGAAGGGGGGTTGGGGCTCACCACTACGCCGATGGACCCCCTCGGCCTTGGGTGGTCGGTCGGTCCTCTCATCAAAAAGTACGCCATAAACATAGAAGAATCCCAAGTCAATAGTACATTTGCTGCGACCTTGGTTGCCAATTTGCCGCGGCCGCATTATTCTCTTTAGTCTTTTTCAAGATTCATGAATGAAATAAATTTAAAACATCACGTGATATACATTTTTTTTTTTTTGTGAATGACTGGGGTAAGATAAAAATACTTCAACTACTTTTTGTAAAATTCGTCAACTGTACTCTTATTATTTGTAGAACGGCATAAAAGCACCCTAAATTTTGATGGAATATTCATGCGAGTGTATGGAATGAAAATTACCGATTCGGAAAGATAAAAGAAAAAGAAAAGAGAGGTAAGGGATTTATGTGCAAGTCCTTATGAACTCTATGTTTTGACCACTAAAAGAAAAAGATGAAAGAGGGAGCAAGTGAGGGGTCCCCTCATGATAGAGCTCACATATATTTCCTCTTATTTTTTATCACACGCGTGTATATTGACTTTTAAATTAAATTATTAAAAATATAACAAATCAAAATTACAATTCTTATGGATTTGTATTATCAATTAATAAATTTATATTTACTCTCTAATTAATAAGGTCATTCTTAAATCTCTCTCCCCACCACCACCCACCCACTTTAATAGTCAATATTTGTAGCATCTTCCCTCTCCATTAAATTCCTCTTTTCCTTAAATCTCTCACAGTCCCTTTTGGCTCTTTTTAATAAAGTAGAGCTATAAATTAGATTGATTGGGTTAGGTTAAATGTCAACTAATGTCAAAACCCAAATTTGCCCACCCAATACATGGGTTGAACCAATCTTCTTCTTCTATAAAAGTCTAAAGAAAGCACTTAATATGATTATTAACCTTTGGTTATCTTCGACAATTGAATTTTGAAATTGTTTTTTAACTTGGTTATTGATCCCATGCTAAGCATATTTTTTGGCTTTATAGGCTACACAACGGAAGGGGGGTAATCTATCCCCTAAACCCTTAACCCCAACCCCACTAATACTAGGATTTGATCCCAAGTCTCGCTACAAGTAACCAAAGAACCTACCAAGCCATCATCAATTGGTTTTCATGCTAAGCAGTTGATTTATGTATTTCTCATAATATATAAGTTATATAAAAATGAATAAGTTTGAAGCTCAATAGCTAAAAAAGAAAAGAAAAATATTTTTCTACTATTTTATATTTAAAGAATTAAAAATATATAAAAACTTTGATGAATAATTGTTGTAGGTATGTACAGCTCACCCAGACCCTCAAAGAACACTCTGACACCAAAAGTAATGCCGCAGAATCATTCATGAACTGCTTGCAATCAACTCCCGTGCTGCGATGAACTTGCAATACACCGCTACATTTGTAATGAACTCAAAATATTAAGCAAAGCTGTAATAAACCCGCGGCTCACCAAGTTCAGTTAACGCTAGAACCTAAAATAAACCTTAGAAAGACCTATCCAAGAGACTCAAACACACCTAAGTGTGCGATGAAGCCACACCCACTACAACGACCTACGAGTCTACTCTGGATAACGGGATAGAAAGGACAATAGGCCGAGCCCACGGTGAGGCTCACTTGTACCTAGACACATGCGAACCCAAGACAACAAAAGACTTCGCAAGCCGCCACGTAGAACTAACAAAGTACCGTCAAACGGTGACATCACTATTGCCACATAGGATTAGTTATGACAGGCAAAAAGGTAGTAGCGCACGCGAGTAATGAGGAATCTCAAGGATAAGGAAAACTAATCCTTGAGAAGATCCTCATGAAACACGTGGCAATACCTCAGTAACGCACACAAAGATTGACAGCGAATCAAATATTCCCTTCCCCGATACGGAGCAAATATCTTAATCTCCTACATTTTAGGATCTAGGGACCTCCTCCATAAATAGAGATCCTCCTCACATTAAAACTCATCCGATCCTAAGCATTTGTTAGTGATACTCTCGAGTATCCACGAGCCTCTCATTTCTCTAAGCCCTTTACCTAAAGACCTTCACTTTCCCTCACTCTTGAGGCTTCTCTTCGTCTTTCAAAGAGACCGCTCCCCAACCCAACCTTACATCTCCATCCTACAACTGTTACTTAATTGTCTTTTCCTCAAAAATACATTTTTAAACAATAATCTAATGCATGGGTCACCACTAATATAATAAAAAGAGAAAAGAAGAGAGGTGAGGGGCCCTCTCACCAGAGAGCTCATGCATGTCTCCTCCTCCCTTTTCTCACACATGTGCATATTTATTTTTTAAATGAAATCATTAAAAATATAACAAGGAAAATTAAAACCCTCATGGGTCTTCATTCTCTCATAAAATCCATATTTGCTCTCTAATAAGGTCATTCTTAAATCTCTCTCTCTCTCTCTCTCTCTCTCTCCACACCTTGATAGTCAATGTTTGTAACATTTCCTCTCCCTATTAAATCCCTCTTTTACTCTTAACTCACTCTTAATACCTTTTGTCTCTCTTTAATAAAGTAGCAGCGTAAACTAGAATGGATTGGGTTATGTTTAGGGACAACTCTAATCAAATCCAAATTGGCTCACCCAATTCATAAGGTGAACCAATCTTCTTCTATGAAAGTCTAAAATAAACATTTCTCCTTTCCATGGATAATCTTTTTTTTCTCTCTTTTTTATTAATTTAGTGTAGATTTGTTTCATGGATTGTTCTGGTTCAATAATAAAATGCAACAAAAAAGAGCTTAACATGGACCTCTGGTTATTTTCATTAGTTCAATTTTGAAAATTTTTTAACTTGATTAATAATCTTCTGATAAGCATAATTTTTGGCTTTTTAGGACTATACAATGGGGAGTAGCCCATCCCCTAATCCCTTAATCCCCTAACCCAGGTGGTAACAAGATTTGATCCCAAGTCTAATACATCTAACCAAAGAAGTGAAAGAACCTATCAATTGAGCCACCATCAACAACTAAAAAAGAAAAGAAAAGAAAAGAAAAGGAATAAATTTGACTTTTTATGTACTTCTCATAATATATAAGCTATATAGAAAAAGGAATAAATTTGAAACTCAACAACTAAAAAAGGAAAGAAAATCATTTTTCTACTAATTTATATGTAAAGAACTAAAAATATATAAAAGCTTTGGTGAATCACTATTACTTCATTTTTCCCTTAAAAAATACATTTTTGAACAACTCACACAAACCTCCTTATCCTCTCATTTCTCATACATGTGATTATTTATTTTTATATTAAATGATTAAAAATATAAAAAGTCAAAATAAAAACCCTCTTGAGTTTCAATTGTCTTTGATAAAGTTGATCATTACTCTCTTCAATAAGATCATTCTTAAAACTCCACCCCCCCCACCAAACTCTCAACCCCTTTGGTTCTCAATAAATTAGATGGATTTGGTTAGGTTAAGGTAAGGGTGTCAATGGACCAGTTTTGGATTGGACCCCATCCAATCCAAAATCAATTTGGACGAATTTGATGGACCAACAATACATTGAATTGGACCAATCTGGTCCAAAATATTTATTAGATTGGATTGGACCTGGTCCATCCGTAATAAATTTGTATAGGATTGGGTTGGATTAAGCCAATATTTGCTCCATTGATATAAAATAAGAATATAGGTGTCAATGGATTGGGTTTGAATTGAACCAATCTAAATCAAAATAAATTTGAACAAATTGGACAGTCCAAACATTGAATTGGACTGGTCCAAAATATTCATTGGATTGGATTGGACTGGTCCAAAATATTCATTGGATTGGATTGGACTTGGTCCATTTATAGTGGACTCACATTGAACTGGATTGGATTGGACCAAACCCAATCCAATTGACACCCCTAGGTCAAGGACCAATCCATCACCAACTCTAAATATGGACCTTAGCCTAAACCCAAATTGATACAAAAAACCTAAATTTGCCAAATAAAACCTAACTTGTGCCCAATGCTAAATATGGACCTTAGCCTAAACTCAAATTGATGCCAAAAACCTAAATTTGCCAACTAAAACCTAACTTGTGCCCAATTCTAAATATGGACCT